GATAGACTAGATGGGCCTTAAGGTCCCCTCCAACTCTAGGAATCTATGACCTATAGATATATAAATGCACATATACAGTATAGGTGTATAGTGATGGTACTGAATGGCCCTTGGGTTCCCCCCCTCCCAACTCTAGCATTCTATGCTAGATAGATAGGCACATACATGCAAACAAACATCCATGGAGGGGGTTGGACTAGATGGCCCTTGGGGGTCCCTTCCAACTTTCCAATTCTATGAACGGGCTAGGAATTTTCCATCTCCCACAAAGAGTGATGCAATCCAAAGGCCCTTGAGGGTGACGTAACGCCTTGCTTACAATGCTGGGTCAGGAGAATGGGGCTCAACCCTGCTCTTTCTGGCATCTCCCCCCAAGCCCCAGGACCCCCACATTTTTGGGGTCAGGATGGCAAAATGGACCTTAAGGACCGGTTGCCATGGCTTTGGTGTGTCCCTGGATGCAGAAGGGAGGTAGACCTCTGCTTCCCCTCCTTCTTCCTTTCCTGCCTCCCTCCCTCTTTTCCTGGCAGCTGCTGAGGTTTAGAGTGGAAGATGGGAAGGAAAGGGGGGAGAGAAAGAGAGAGAAAGAAGTGCTCCGCTTCCTATTTGCCAGTGGGTAGCCCTTGGTTACAAGGCAGAAGCCGCTGTCTCCGGGATGCCAGCCCGGCGCGGCGATTGGCGGAGAGGACCGGGCCGTTTTCAACGCTGATGGGATGCCCGTCGCCTTGGTAACAGCAGCATCCAGACCTCGGTGCTCCACAGCCCCTTCTTCTTCGCCAAAGAGACGAAGGAGGAGGATGCATTGTGCCACCCTCCCCCTGAGGCACAGGCCCCAAAAGCCAGGCCCAGGCATTGCAAAACAAAGACGGGGAAAGGGAAGGGACCCGGGCGGTGGCTTTGGAAGAATCAGAGGGCCCTAGAGTTCCATTTATCTATTATAGGATCCTAGAGTTGGAAGAGACCCTCAAGGCTATCCAGGCCAACATCCAACCACCAATCGATCGATCGATCTCATATTCCTAGAGTTGGAAGGGACCCCAATCGCAATTCAGTCTACCATCTCTCTCTTTCTCTCCATCCATCCATCCATCCATCCATCCATCCATCCATCCATCCATCATATAGATTCCTAGCGTTGGAAGGGAACCCAATGGCCATCCATCCATCACATAGATTCCTAGAGTTGGAAGGGACCCAAGTGGCCATTCAGTCTACTATCCATCCATCCATCCATCCATCTATCTATCATATAGATTCCTAGAGTTGGAAGGGACCCCAGCGGACATCCATTCATCCATCCATCCATCACATAGATTTCTAGAGTTGGAAGGGACCCAAGTGGCCATTCAGTCTACCATCTCTATCTACCTACCTACCTACCTACCTACCTACCTACCTACCACATAGAATCCTAGAGTTGGAAGGGACCCCAGTGGCCATTTGGTCTACCATCTATCCGTCCGTCCATCCATCCAAGCATCCACCTATCTATCACATAGATTCCAAAGTTGGAAGGGACCCCAATGGCCATTCAGACATCCATCCCATAGATTCCATCTTGGAAGAAACTCCAATGGCCATCTAGTCTTCCATCTTATCTATCTATCTATCTATCTATCTATCTATCTATCTATCTATCTATCTATCTATCTATCTATCACATAGATTTCTAGAGTTGGAAGGGACCACAATGGCTGTCCGTCCGTCCATCCATCTATCACATTTCTAGAGTTGGAAGGGACCCCAATGACCATCCAGTCTACCATCCATCCATCACATAGATTCCTAGTTGGAAGAGACCCCAATGGCCATCCGGTCTAATCTCTCTCTCTCTCTCTCATCAAATCCTAGAGTGTAACAGACTCCAAGGACCATCTAGTCCAACCCTCCTGTCTTTATGTATTTAGATATATGCGCTCCCTCCTCAATGGGGCATCCTCTCAGACATTGAAACAAAGCATGGATTTCATGCTCCCTTCTCTCAGCCTTCTCTTCTCCAAGCTAAACATCTCCAGCTCTATAAGCCTCTCCTCAGAGAGGTTTCTGGCTTCAAGACCTTTGGCAATTTCTGCCTCCCTTCTTCCACCTTGTCCATATCCTTCTTAAACATAATACTCCCAGTGAGGTCTGACCAAAGCCAAAGAGAGAGGGGCTAGGACTTCCTTTGCTCTGGACAGTGTCTTCCTATTGATGCAGCCTTGAATTGCATTGGCCTTTTTTGCTGCTGCATCACACTCTTGGCTTCTGTTCAGCTTGGGGTCCACTAAGACTCTGAGATCCCTTTCCTGTGGAAGTATATATTAGGGAGAGATGCTTAGAGAGCAGGAAGACAGGGTTGGCTGCCCTTTGGCCTAGCGTAGCATTGCAAGCCAGAAGAAAGAGCAGTTGGCATCACACCACCATCGAGGACCTTAGCATTGCATCATTCTCCATTGAAGATGGAGCAGGAAATTGGAATGGCAGAGGTATAACAGTGCACCGTAATAGGGCCTGAAGAGGTGTGCCATCAGGGTTTTGCCTTGAGGCCGAGAGAGTGTGACTCGAGATGTGTAGGTAGAGGCATCTGCCTCTATCCCGGCCTCAAACCATCCCTGCCAAGCTCTTCCCCCAACTGCCAGACGTTGTCGGTCTGCTTCGCTTCTCCAGCCTCGCCAATATTTTGTCTGCTGCTTTCCCCCAAACAGCACCGGCAGCTGTGCCAAAGGGAAGTGCTGCCAAGCAGCTCCCATTATCATCATCATCATACGGCGAAGAGGCCTCCCTTCAATGCGGATCTGCTTCTTCGACGCTGAACAGCCTGTCCCTGTTTCGCTCTTCATTGTCTCCTAGTCTCTAAAGTAGGCATTGGCCAACTTCGGCCCTCCAGGTGTTTTGGACTTTAACTCCCACAATTCCTAACAGATTACCGGCTGTTAGGAATTGAAGTCCAAAACACCTGGAGGGCTGAAGTTGGCTCATGCATGCTCTAAAGCAACAGAAAACAAACTTTCCTTCTCCTCCTCCTCCCTTTCCAATATATAAACAAGCCACAGAGAGCGGGGCTATGATTTTCCTCAGCACTGTCCTCCTAAAGATTCAGCATCAAACCGCATTAGCCATTTAAGCAGCTGCATCAACACTCAGCTCATGTTCAGCTTGTGGGCCACTGAGACTCCTCAGATCCCTTCCACGTGGACTGTTTCCAAGCCAGCGCTCCCCCTATATCTGTGCAACTTATGGAGACACCAGCATATCTACCTGGTATTGCCTGGGTGCCACTGGGATCGTGGCCCATCTACTTTCTCCCTTCTCCAGCTCTGAGAAGGCCTACCGCACAATGTCTTCATGGCAAGGCTCTCTTTGTGGCTTTTCCTTCCTCTGATTCTCCTCATACACATTTTCCCTCTATTTGCTTTCCTTTCTCTTCCCTTCTTTTTCTCTCTTTCCCTCCCTCCCTTTGTCCCCAACTTCCCTTCTTTTTCTTTCCTCCTTCCCTCCCTTTGCCTCCCTTCTTTTTCTCTTTCCTTCCCTTCCCTTGTCTTTTGTCTCTTACTTTTCTTCCCTTCTTTTTCTTCCCTCCTTCCCTTCACCTACCTTCTATTCTCTCTTTCCCTCCCTTCCTTCATCTCTTTCTTTTCTTCCCTTCTTTTTTCTTTCCTCTTTCCCTCCCTTTGCCTGATTCGTCTTACCTTCCTTTTCTTCCCTTCCTTTTCCTCTCTCCCCTCCCTTCTTTCCTCCCTTTTCTCTTTCCTCCTTCCTTCGTCCCTTCTTTTTTTCCTTCTTCTTCTATCTTTTCTCCTCCCCCTTCCTTCCCAGTCTTTCTTCCCTTCCTTTTCTCTTCCCTCCTTCCCTCCCTCCTTCTTTCCCCCCATCCTTTTCTCTCTCCCCTCCTCCCCCTTCCTTCTCCTATCTTTCTTCCCTTCTTTTTCTCTCTTCCCCCCTTCCCTCCCTCCCTTCCTTCATCCCTTCTTTCTTCCCTTCTTTTTCTCTCTTCCCTCCTTCCCTTCCTTCTTCCTTCCTTCCTTTCCTTTCCTTTCCTTTCCTTCCTCTCCAACCTTCCCCCTAATTCTTTGGGGAATAACCAGCCACAGAACAACATATAACACAAGACCCATCCAAATGCACCTGACCCACAGCGGGGACCTCGCTCCAGAAGGTGCCTCCTCCGTAAAAAATGCATTACTTAAAATTTTATTCCAAAGAATATTATATATCGCTCGACATAATATATAATATTCCACACATCATGTTTTCCACACTGAAGTTTCCAAAAAAAGGGGGTGGGGTTTACATGGGCAAAGGAGGGAAGGGGGGAAGAAGAAAGGAAGCGTTTTTCCCCCCACAAAAAGACAGCAGTGAGGTCTCGCTGGGAGCGGTCAGGATTCGAATCCAGTCCCYTGGAATAAAAAGGACCCCGCCAGGCACACGCAGACACTCACTCAGAAGGAATCGAAAGGCGCTCTGATCCGGAAWGTGGGTCCCGTATACCCTCCCTGGGCTTCCCTCCGTCCAAATTCTCAATTTCCGGCCAAGAAAACGCTGCAAATTCCCCCTTGAGATTCCCAATAGACTCTCAGTTAATCCACTTTCTGGCTAAATGTCGTTCCAGGTTGCTCGAGAGTTCCTATTACAAAAGAACCCTAACTAATACTTTATCCTATACTAGACTTGATATTCATATTCCACTTCTAGATTTACAATAGACTCTCAGTTAACCTAATATGGATAGATTCCAGATAAATGTCGGTTCTGATTGTGTAAGTTTCAATCAAATGGGCCTGAGTAATACTATTTTAATTCTTTTTATTTAGAGGACTATTTATTTGATTTTTTTTGCCGGTTGCTTGAGAGTTCCATTTAACTGAGAGTCTAATGCATTTCGGAAACGGAGGGGTTTGGTGGTAGGAGAAGATGCCTTCTTTGTCTTCATGGAAAAGGGAGGGAAATGTATAAAACGGTTGGAAAAAATTGCATTTCTTGAGTTTCGAATTCTAAACCGATGAGAGTCGTGGCTGTTTGAAACTTTGCAGTTCGAACCGTGGACCAAAAAGTTGTTTGCATTTGTAGAGGCAAGGAAAATGGGGCATTTGCGACCTCTCCCGCTCCGGATACCCTGTGGAGACCGTGTCCCTGTGCTGGTTACAAACTCTGTTCTGTCGCCGTTGCAGAACTTGAAATAACTCTACCCTGTGCTTCACAATTTTGGAACCCGACCCACCCCGAAAAAGAGACCCCCGCCCCCATAAAACACCCCTTTCCACTTTCAACAGAAACACCGAATAGCAAGGAAGAGGGACGGAGACGCCAACCATGCCCCGCCGTGCCCTTCCTTCCGGTCCTCCTCTCTGCCCACTTGTCCCTTTCTGTTCTGAGCAACCTCGCACTCACGCCCCCATTCACACGCCCCTCGGATGTGGGATGGATTGCGGATCGTCTCCCGGATTGGCAGCTTGGTGGTCTTCGTTCTCCGGATCAACGTTAATAATGAACCCCCACGAAAGAAGGAAGTGGCAGGGGGAAAAGGACAGAAAGATGGCACTCAAGCATCGCTCAAAACAGGGACGTCTCCCGTCCCGATCCCACAGTCGTCCAAACAGCTGCCTATTTGGGGAGTGTTGGAGACAAAGGGGAGTCCAAATCAGATTTGGCGCCAGAAAGAGGAAACAAAGGGTCCGGAGCCGTCTGGGGTTCCGACCCGTCATCGGGTCCAGGGCTCCGCACCTCGGATCCCGACCCAAAACGTCCCATGTTCGGTACAACTGTCGCATCCCGTCAGGCTACCGGTGGGGCGGCTCCTTCTTCTTGGTCTGGTGGGGCAGGTGGGCTTGCGGCAAGTGGATGTGTCCAATTAAGCCGAAGGGGGCGCCGGCGGCTGGATGCGTGGCAGAGGTGGTTAGGGAAGGCAGGCAGCACTTCTGGGGGCCACCGGCTGCCACTGGGATAGGCAGGACAGCCTCCGATGGGATCAGAAATGCTGGTGCCAAGCGGAGCTGGAAGAGCTTGGCCCCACTCTGTGCCAGAGCCAAAGTGGACGGGGGGATTGGGGCCATGGGAGGGGCTGCCGGGGAGATGGCAGGGGTATCCTCGCTGCCGGGACTGGGCTTCTCCCCCGGAGTCTTCTCCTTCTCCAGCTTCAGCATCTCCTGTAGCTTCTCCAGCTGGGTGCGGCGGAGGTGGGAGAGCATGCGGCTGTGCTGGAAGGTCTCCACGAAGCTCTCGATGGGCAGCTCCCAGCACAGGAAGCGCTCCATTTGTTCCTAGAGGGAGCAAGAAAGTTAGGTCACTGGGATCGAATGGGTACCACACTTGCAGCCAAGACAACTTGTTCCCCTACCACATCATTAATTCCGTGTGAGCGTCAAACTGTTGCAGTCGTTCAAAGACAACTTGTTCTCCTACCACGTCATTAATTCCGTGTGAGCGTAAAACTGTTGCAGTCGTTCAAAGACAACTTGTTCCCCTACCACGTCATTAATTCTGTGTGAGCGTCAAACTGTTGCAGTAGTTCAAAGACAACTTGTTCCCCTACCACGTCATTAATTTCATGTGAAAGTCAATCTATGGCAGTGGTTCCCAACTTGTGGTCCATGGACTATCAGTGGTTTGCAAGAACTAAAATATGGTCCGCGACCTCACCGTTTCTACACCGTAGCAACAAGAGCGACTGCTCTCGTGAAACCTCTTATACTGCCAAGGCTTTTTAAACATGTTAATAGTTGGGTTGTTGTAGGTTTTTCCGGGCTATATGGCCATGTTCTGAGGCATTTTCTCCTGACGTTTCGCCTGCATCTATGGCAAGCATCCTCAGAGGTAGTGAGGTCTGTTGGAAGTAGGAAAAATGGGTTTATATATCTGTGGAATGACCAGGGTGAGACAAAGGACTTTTGTCTGCTGGGGCTAGCTGTGAATGTTTCAGTTGATCACCTTGATTAGCATTCAATGGCTTGGAAGTGCCTGGGGGGAATCTTTTGTTGAGAGTGACTCTATGTTAGGTTTTATAATAATGTGAAGCCTTAAATTTTGCCATAAATAAGTTGAAAACTGCTTTGAGCCCCCCCCCCCCCCGAGTGAGAAAAGTAACATATAAATAAATAAATACATAAATAAAGTTTTCTGTGGGCGGGCAGATGGCAGCTACTGGATGGCATATGTTCTGTATCAGAAACTAGAGCTGATGTGGTCTGTCCAATGCAATTTTTCTGAATCAGCATCCCAAATAACTAAACCGAATCTAAAGTTGACCAAAAACCGATTCGTACCTTTTTTGGTACTAATGTTGGAGAGTGGTTCCTGGTCAAAGGGGTCCCTGGTCAAAAAAGGTTGGGAACCACTGATCTGTGGCAGTTTATCTCCGCATTTGGATCAATCCCACCCAGAGGAGAGCTTTGACATCTGCAAGGCGCAATGTGTTGTCATCCGCTCTTTGGGATGGGAGATATGAAAATGTGGAACGTTCTAAAAGGGTGTGTTCATGTGACTTGTTTTCTTCCCCATTCTTTGTTTGCATGGCCTAAATATGATTATATAAGGATGAAATACAGGAATTTCCTTTTTTTTCAGTGTTCTCATTGGCAAGGGTGTTATAAAATGGCCTGTCTTCAGAACAACTCTGATGCATTCTTTCGTCAGACTGTTGCACAATTTATTCTTGGGGTTCGTAACTCTTAATTATGCTTTCCTTCTGATCTGTGACTTCCTCTTGTTGTATATGCCTGTGTTGCGATTTTGTTGTTGTATGTCAATAAAGGCTGTGTATGTGTGTACACTTATGTAGAAGCATTGGACCACACAGATCTAGGATGGATGACACCTGGCCTGGAAACAGTCCCTAGGGAGGGGATCTAGGCATCTTAGTGGACCACAAGCTGGACATGAGCCAGGAGTGTGATGCGGCAGCTCAAAAGGCCAATGTGATTCTAAGTTTTTATACTTTAGCTAAAATAAATGAATTGATTTATAGATATGTATAGGATGGGAGACACTTGGCTTGGAAACAGCCCCTGGGAAAGGGATCTAGGAGTCTTAGTGGACCACAAGCTGAACATGAATTGCTCCATCTACTTCTGGAAACAGCAAGAAGGTTGGATCTCAGGGAAGAATGGATAATCTGACACCATTCTGTGTGGGAAAACAAAGGTTTTGGAAAGAAAACAACATTTTCTGTGAGGAAACTAGCCTTTTCTATTCAGAAAAGCCACCCCGAATCTCAGTCTGAAAGATAAGTGGGATATTACTCCAGGAAATGAAGTTTTTTTTCTGCACAAAGACATTTTTCTTTTTGCAAAGAATGGATCCGGAATAAGTCTACATTGAATAATTATAGTGGTTTGATACCACACTTTGATACCACATCCTATCATATCCTGCAATTTGGGACTCGGAAAAGGTCTAAGAATTTGCTTGTTCACTCCCATTAGCGAATACTTCTTACCTCTGGAAACTACGTATCTCAGTATTGCCTAGCTAGTAGTCATGCTGGCTAAAGCTGGTCGAATTGTTCGTGTTTTGAGCAGAGTTCCCAAAGTTTGGGAGCTGCCACCGAAAAGGCCCTACCTTTACATATTATCAACATCAGTGTATGTGGATGATTTCATGGTGGACTCACCTCGACTCTGATTTCTACTCCATCCAGTTCAGCTTGGAGTCGACTCAGGGCATTTTCGGGTGTCCATTTGGCCATACACGCTCCTGTGGGTGCAAAGTCAGCATAAGCATGTGTCTACACTGTCAAATTAATGCAGTTTGACACCACTTTGACTGCCCTGGCTCCAGCACCTTCGAAATTTCAAAGCTTTCCAAAACTTGGAGAAGATTCACAGCTCCAGATCCTAGTCCTCTGGGGAAGACGGGGTTCATGGAGTTGCCCCAGGCCAATAATTTCCATCTTCTTCTACTTTCAACCTGACCTACCTTGCAGGGTTGTTGTGAGGATTAAGGAAGGAAAGAGGAAGGAAGGCACTACTTTGAGCTCATTGGAATAAAGGTAAAATATAAACCCAATGTAATGTATTAAAAAATAGGAATAGCAGACTCCACGGAGTAGAGCTCCCATGTCAGAGGGATGGCGGATCCACTCCAGGTTTTCACTCATTTAATCAACAGAAATATAAACCCAATGTAATGTATTAAAAAATAGGAATTGCATACTCCATGGAGTAGAGCTCCCATGTCAGTGGGATGGCGGATCCATTCCAGGTTTCACTCATTTAATCAAAAGAAATATAAACCCAATGTAATGTATTAAAAATAGGAATTGCATACTCCATGGAGTAGAGCTCCCATGTCAGTGGGATGGCGGATCCATTCCAGGTTTCCCTCATTTAATCAAAAGAAATATAAACCCAATGTAATATATTAAAAAATACGAATTGCAGACTCCGTGGAGCAGAGCTTCCATGTCAATGGGACACTGGATCCACTCCAGGTTTCATGGCATTCAGGGCATCCAGACTTTGGGAAAACTCCTCCGACACTTTCCAAAATCTGGAGTGGATTCTCTGCCCTGCCAGCATGGGATTGCTAGTCACCAATGCATCTGGGGAGGACGGTATGTAAATATACATTTGGAGAAACACATGCATCTAGCTTTGCCTCACCCAAGCGCTGCTGCTTGTCTCGGCAGGCCTCCCGCAGCTCCCGCAGCTCCTGGTACTTGATGGCTAAGGAAGCCTTGCCATTCTCCAGCCGCGGCTGCATGGCCAGGTTCTGCCTCGCCAAGGTGTAGTTGGAGGCCAGGCGCATCTCCCGCTCCAGCTGCAGGTTCTGGAACTGGAACAACATACAGGCGAGGGAGGCCAGTCAGGGTTCCGGCCTTGTGACGTTTGCGAGCTAACCCATTCAAGAACTGCATGCAATATTTGCCAGTTCCTCAAGCCTCTTTGGTGGTTGGTTATAGACATTTATTGACAGTTCGGACTAAAGCTCGGAGTGGATAGGCCAACAATGTCCACAGCAGCTTGGAAACATTGGGATTTATTGAGACTGTGACGTCTCCCAACCCAGGGATCAATTAAACGTCTTTTAAAGTTTGGACTAAAGCCCAAAAGCGATAGTGGTGGGTTTGAATTCATCCTAGAAAGTTTGGGTGAAAGACCACAGACCCATTCACCGCCCTCTGCAGAGCGGACTAAAACCCAGATGGATTTGCCTTTGGAGCACAGATAGTCAACAACTGAATCCATGGGCCTTTTACGGGAAGTCCCAGAAACCAAATGGATCCATTAACCCTCCTGTAACGTTTGGAGTAAACCACAGAGCGCACAGACTATTAAAACCCAGTTGAGTGTAGACTACCAAATCCATATGCCTTTTAGGATACTCTCCAAAACCAAATGGATCCATTAACCATTCTGTAAAGTTTGGACTAAAGCCCAAAAGTGATGGTGGTGGGTTTGAGTTCATCCTTGAAAGTTTGGACTAAAGACCACAGACCCATTCACCATCCTTTGCAGTGTGGACTAAAACCCAAGATGGCTTTGCCTCTGGAACACACAATCTCAACAACTGAATCCATGGGCCTTTTAGGATAACTCCCAGAAACTGAATGGATCCTTTAACCCTCTTGTAAAGTTCGGACTAAAGCCCGGAGCAGACACACAAGCGCGGAGGCTATTAAAACCCAGTTGAGTGTGGACTACCAAATCCATGTGCCTTTTAGGGTACTCCCCGAAACTGAATGGATCCATTACCCCTCTTGAAAAGTTTGGACTAAAGACTGGAGTGAACACACTAGTGCGGAGGCTTTGAAAACCCGGTTGAGTGCAGACTACTGAATCCATGTGCCTTTTAGGATAGTCCCCAAAACTTGAATGGATCCATTAACCCTCTTGTAAAGTTCGGACTACAGCCCGGAGCGGACACACCATTAAAACCCAGTGGAGTGCAGACAGCCAAGCCCATGTGCCTTTCCAAAACCCTGATCCATTAACCCAGGACACCCAGATCCCAAAACACCATATATATGTGTGTGTGTATATATATATATATTCCTCTCTGTTGTGCGCAGGCACACGACTGTTGTGAAGGAGTGTGGGAAGGTGCCTTTCGGAGATAAACAGACCCCGACATCTTTATTTTTTGTTTGGTTTGTTCTGGATGACACAAAGCGTGTGACGTGACCGCTGTGCCACAAAAATAACAATGGGACTGGATGGTGATGGTGATGATGATGATGGGGGTGAAACCAGGAAGATTTGGGGAGAAATGGGGGGAATATAATATTATATATATATATATATATATATATATATATATATGTATGTCTGTGTATATATATTTTCCCCTATTATTATTATTTTGCTCCAAGGGGGCGGAGAGACTGCTTTGTGTCTCTCTTTCTCCAGCAGAGAAATGGAGACCCAAGGATGTCTTCACCCCAAAAAGATTGGGGGTGGGATATAATAATAAATAATAGAGAACACACACACACACACCAATAATGAAACCAGTTTGATTGTTTACTGGGAATGGAAACCAGTTTGGAGGGTTGGCCTCTTTGTGTGTGTGCAAGATTGAGAACAAGGGGCATCGGAAGAGACAAAAGACCCCAAAGCACCCCAAATGTATCATCAGCACCCCCTTTCCCCCCATCTGGTTTCAATATATACAGATGACAAAGGGATTTCTTTAAAGGAGAGGGTCTTGATTGACAGGTGGGCGGGAACATGGCCCCTACAGACCTGATTTAATGGGTTTCTTGGTCAGATTTTGGGGTGCTTCTTGGGTGGATCGAACCAACCCACGTCCATGAAAAGGGGGTCTTTTTGTCCCACCTAAAAAGGCCATTTTGGGGGTGATACTGTCAATGCATATATCTGGAATGGCCCCCAACTCCACAAATCAAACCTAGGCCCCCCTTAAGTGGCATTGCATTATTATTATTATTATTATTATTAATAATAATAATAATAATAATTAGTGGTAGTAGCAGTAGTAGTAGTAGTAATGGAGATATAATTCCATGGCAACCCCCTTTTATAAGATCCAATGTATAAATATAATATATAATATGTGCAATAAATAAATAAATAAATATTTTGTATACACACACACTTATATAGGCATGGCCAACCACCTTTAGAATAATACAAATATAATAATATAGGAAGAATGGAAAATATATTACCAATAATCCAATGGCACAATATTTAGAACAATATAAATGTAATAATATAATGATAAATATAGAAATATATGACTCCAATGGCACAGTGGGTAACCCTTTAAGAATAAATATAAATACAATCAGGCAGTAATAGTAATAATAATAATAATAATAATAATAATAATAATATAACGACATGGTGATTCCCCTCTAGAATAGTAAATATAATAATATAAGAATGAATATGGAAATATAATACTAATGATGGTGATGATAAAATGGCATTGTGTGTCTCTTTTATAAGGATATAAATAAGAATAAATATAGAAATGTAATACTATAATATCATGGCAGGCCCCCCCCCCTTTATAATAACGACAACAATAATAATACAAATAGTGATCATCATAAGAAGAGTGCATTGAAATCCTACACACACACACACACACACACACACAAATATAATGACATCATGGCATGGCAAATCCCCCATAATAATAATAATAATAATAATAATAATAATAATAATAATAATAATAATATAGACATAGATTACTAGAATGGCATGGCAATGCTAGAATGGCATGGCAACCCCTTTATAGTAGTAATAATAATAACAATAATAATAGTAATGGTGATGATGTGGAAATAGAATATTACAATGGCATGGCAACCCCTTTAATAATAATAATATGTAAAAATAGAGTACTAGAATGTCATGGTAAATTCCTAATAATAATAATAATAATAATAATAATAATGTAGAAATAGAATACCGTAACAACAACAACAATAAATGTAATAATAGTATATTAGAATGTCAATGTAAAATTGCACTTTATAATAATAATAATAATAATAATAATAGACTACTAGAATGGTATGGCAATATCCTCCTTTAAAATAATAATAATAATAATAATAATGATGATGATGATGATGATGTAGAAATAGAGTACTAGAATGGCATAGCAACCCCATAATAAATAATAATAATAATAATAATAATAATAATAATATGGAAATATACTAGAATGGCATGGCAGATGCCTAATAATAATAATAATAATAATAATAATAAGTAATAATAGAGTACTAGAATGGTATGGCAACCCCTTAATAATAATAATAATGATGATGATGATGATGATGATGTAGAGATTGAATACTGGAATGTCAATGGCAAATCCCCCTTATAATAATAATAATAATAATAATAATAATAATAATAATAATAAGATAGAATACTGGGATGTCAATGGCAATATCCCTTTATAATAATAATAATAATAATAATAATAATAATAATACTTATGATGTAGAGATAGAATACTGGAACATCAATGGCAAATCTCCTTTTATAATAATAATAATAATAATAATAATATAGAATACTGGGATGTCAATGGCAAATCCCCTTTTATAATAATAATAATAATAATAATAATAATAATAATAATAATGTAGAGAGAGAATACTGGGATGTCAATGGCAAATCCCTCTTAATAATAATAATAATAATAATAATAATAATAATGTAGAGATTGAATTCTGGAATGTCAATGGCAAATCCCTCTTAATAATAATAATAATGAAGAGATTGAATTCTGGAATGTCAATGGCAAATCCCTCTTTATAATAATAATAATAATTACAATTATAATAATAATAATAATAATGTAGAGCTAGAATACTGGGATGTCAATGGCAAATCTCCCTTTATAATAATAATAATAATAATAATAATAATAATAATAATAATAATAATAATAATAATGTAGAGATAGAATACTACAATATCAATGGCAAATCCCTCTTTATAATAATAATAATAATAATAATAATAATAATAGTAATAATAATAATAATAATAATAATAATATAGAGATAGAATACTACAATGTCAATGGCAAATCTCCCTTTATAATAAGAATAATAATTTAGAGATAAAATAGTGGAATGTCAATGGCAAATCCCTCTTTATAATAATAATAATAATGTAGAGAGAGAATGAGAGAATACTGGAATGTCAATGGCAAATCTCCTTTTATAATAATAATAATAATAATAATAATAATAATAATAATAATAATATAGTATACTGGGATGTCAATGGCAAATCTCCCTTTATAATAATAATAATAATAATAATAATAATAATAATAATAATAATAATAATGCTAAAACTGGAGGGCAAGCCTCCCTTCAACAATATGCAGGAACAGACTGAGAAGAAGACCTGCATGGCAGCACAACAACAACAACAACAGAAATGAACCCCCTTTTGTATAACCAAGAGCTGTTTGAACAGAGGAATAGAGGGAGATGCACCAGGATCACAACACGGCCATTTCCCAGGGAGAAGAAGGCAGGCAGGGAGGGAAAGAGGGAGACAGAGAGAGAGCACAATGCCTCCCGAATGCGCCCAGTGATGGAATGGCAGGCATGAGGGAGGGATGCAGAGGCAAGCAAGAGCCTTTGCAGCCCCCAGACCCCTTGGGTTTGGCCATGGGGAGAGGCAGAGGCAGAGGAGGAGAGGCAGGGTGGAGGGGCTTCCAAGGGAAGATGGGGATGATGCAATGCAATGGGGACAATGCAAGGAGACAATGCAACCCACGGCCTTTCCTTTCCTCTCATCCCACCCCACCGCACCCCCTACCTTCCGGCTCAGCTTGACGATGCGCTCTAGCCAGGTTTCGTCGCGCATCAAGGCTCGGAGCTGGGCGGTGCTGAGGGCCCCGAAGCCGAGATCCACGGCCGAGTTGCCCCCTCCTCCTCCTCCTCCGCCGCCTCCTCCTCCTCCGCCCCGCGGGCCCCGATCGCGCTCCATGGCGTGCGGAGCCGACCCCAGCGGCGTCCGCACCTGGCGGATGGAGCGGCGCGATCCCGCACCTGCACCTGCACCGCCTCCGCCGCCCGCCGCCGCCGCCACCAGAGGGCGCGCGCGCGCCAGCTCTTAAAGGGGACGCCAACGCTCTGCTGGATTCAGAAGGAGGAGGAGGAAGGAAGGAGGAGGCTGCCTCCCAGGCGCAGACAAAGGAGGGCTTCTGAGCATGTGCAGAGCGAAGCGTCAGGCCCCCTCGCACACACTAGGGCTGGGAACTATTCCACAGATATAGAAAGGAAGGTTTATATATCTGTGGAATGATTGATGTCCAGGGTGTCTGTTGGAGGCAAGTGTGAATAGTACTTGATAGCCTTGCAGCTGCAAAGTCAATCAGGGAGGGTATCTGCATAGAAATAGCCTAGCCTTTCTATGCAATGATGTCCAGTGGCCAGGTTAGTGAGCTGCAAAGTCAATCAGGGAGGGTATCTGCATAGAGGTAGCCTGGCCTTTGTTGCCTGGAGCCATTTCTGTGGAATGATGTCCAGGGTGGGAGGAAGAACTCTTGTCTGTTGGAGGCAAGTGTGAATAGCACTGAATAGCTTTGCAGCTACAAAGTCAACTAGGGAGGGTATCTGCATAGAGGTAGCCTGGCCTTCTTTGCTTGGAGGCACTCTCTGTGGAATGATATCCAGGGTGGGAGAAATAACTTGCCTGGCGAAACGTCAGGAGAAATGCCTCTAGAACATGGCCATATAGCCTGAAAAAACCCACAAGAACTTTGTTAATGTTGCCATTGGCCAGGTTGGTGAGCTGCAAAGTCAATCAGGGAGGATATCTGCATAGAGGTAGCCTGGCCTTCGTTGCCTGGAGGCACTCTCTGTGGAATGATATCCAGGGTGGGAGAAATAACTTGTCTATTGGAGGCAAGTGTGAATAGCACTGAATAGCCTTGCAGCTGCAAAGTCAATCAGGGAGGGTATCTGCATAGAAATAGTCTGGCCTTTGTTTCCTGGAGGCACCTCTGTGGAATGATGTCCAGGGTGGACAAGAAAGAACTCTTGACTGATTGAAGCAAGTGTTAATGTTGCCGTTGGCCAGCATGGTGAGCTGCAAAGTCAACTAGGGAGGGTATCTGCATAGAGGTGGCTTGGCCTTTGTTGCCTGGAGGCACCATCTGTGGAATGATGTCCAGGGTGGGAGGAAGATCTTATGTCTGTTGGAGGCAAATGTGAATGTTGCCATTGGCCAGCTTGATTAGCACTAAATAGCCTTGTAGCTGCAAAGTCAATCAGGGAGGGTATCTGCATAGAAATAGCCTAGCCTTTGTTGCCTGGAGGCACCCTCTGTGCAATGATGTCCAGGGTGGGAGAAAGAACTCTTGTCTGTTGGAGGCAAGTGTGAATGTTGCCATTGGCCAGCTGTAAAGTCAGTCAGGGAGGGTATCTGCATAGAGGTGGCCTGGCCTTTGTTGCTTGGAGACACTCTCTATGGAATGATGTCCAGGGTGGGAGAAAGAACTCTTGTCTGTTGGAGGCAAGTGTGAATGTTGCCATTGGCCAGCTTGATTAGCACTGAATAGCCTTGCAGCTGCAAAGTCAACCAGGGAGGGTATCTGCATAGAGGTGGCCTGGCCTTTGTTTCTTGGAGGCACTCTCTATGGAATAATGTCCAGGATGGGAGAAAGAACTCTTGTCTGTTGGAGGCAAGTGTGAATGTTGCCATTGACAATATATTGTGTTATTATAAATATCATGATCACAGTGGCTTATTAGCAGCTTATAATGAAAAACCAAGGCAGTGACATCACTGGCCCATCTGCTGTTCAGATATCAACCAACATGCCAATGCAATAGTTTCTTAAGATCTACAGAGATAATAGCAGGAACACCTCAGCAAGCAAGAGTCCAAAAGTGGCAGGTTAAAACCCAGAACCTCAAGCCATGGCTGATATCAAATGAGAGACTCCCTCCTGGGCACACAGAAGACGGGGCGACTTGGAAGGCAGTGAACAGACTGCACTCTGGCACCACGAGATGCAGGGCCAACCTTAGGAAATGGGGCCACAAAGTGGAGTCCACGACATGTGAGTGTGGAGAAGAGCAAACCGCCGACCACCTATTACAATGCGGTCTGAGCCCTTCCATATGCACAGCGGAGGACCTTCTTATAGCAACACCAGAGGGCACTCCAAGTGGCCAGCTACTGGTCAAAGGACATTTAATAGAATGCCAATTTTTCAAAACTTTGTGTTTTTTTAATACATTACAACTGTATTCTTCGTTTGCTCCTGATACAGTAAATTAATAAATCACCCTGTCATTAATATATCCTCACCATCACATTCTACATATGATTCTATTATGATAATGATGATGTCATAAATATCATCATCGTGTTGGTTCACGTTGAAATCTGTGCTTTTAGCCCTTTCTCTCTTCACTGGTGGATTCCTATATCTGTGGGAACCCAGTCCACTTTATGTTGTTGTTCATTCGTTCAGTCGTCTCCGACTCTTTGTGACCTCATGGACCAGCCCACGCCAGAGCTCCCTGTCAGCCGTCACCACCCCCAGCTCCTTCAAGGTCAGTCCAGTCACTTCAAGGATGCCATCCATCCATCTTGCCCTTGGTCGGCCCCTCTTCCTTTTGCCTTCCACTTTCCCCAGCATCATTCCCTTCTCCGGGCTTTGCTATCTCCTCATGATGTGGCCAAAGGACTTCAGCTTTGTCTCTAGTCTCCTTCCCTCCAGTGAGCAGTCGGGCTTTATTTCCTGGAGGATGGACTGGTTGGATCTTCTCGCAGTCCAAGGCACTCTCAGAACTTTCCTCCAGCACCACAGCTCAAAAGCATCTCTTTTCCTTCGCTCAGTCTTCCCTAAGGTCCAGCTCTCACATCCGTAGGTTACTACAGGGAAGACCACGGCGGATCTTTGTTGCCAGTGTGATGTCTCTACTCTTTACTATTTTATCGAGACTGGACATTGCTCTCCTCCCAAGAAGTAAGCGTCTTCTGATTTCCTGGCCACAGTCTGCATCTGCAGTCATCTTTGCACCTAGAAATACAAAGTCTGTCACGGCCTCCACGGTTTCTCCCTCTATTTCCCAGTTGTCAATCATTCTTGTTGCCATAATCTTGGTTTTTTTGATGTTTAGCTGCAACCCGGCTTTTGCGCTTTCTTCTTTCACCTTGATTAGAAGGCTCCTCAGCTCCTCCTCGCTTTCGGCCATCAGAGTGGTGTCATCTGCATATCTGAGGTTGTTAATGTTTCTTCCAGCAATTTTCACCCCAGCTTTGCATTCCTCAAGCCCCGCACATCGCATGATGTGTTCTGCATACAAGTTAAAAAGGTTGGGTGAGAGGATGCAGCCTTGCCGTACGCCTTTCCCAATCTTGAACCAGTCTGTTGTTCCGTGGTCAGTTCTGACTGTTGCTACTTGGTCCTTGTACAGATTCCTCAGGAGAGAGGGAAGGGGGCTTGGGATGCCCATCCCACCAAGAACTTGCCACAATTTATTATGATCCACACAGTCAAAGGCTTTAGAATAGTCAATGAAGCAGAAATAGATGTTTTTCTGAAACTCCCTGCCTTTCTCCATTCTCCAGCATCCGGATATTGGCAATCTGGTCTCTCGTTCCTCTGCCTTTACTAAACCCAGCTTGAACATCTGGTAACTCTTGCTCCATGTATTGCTCCATGTCCACTTTATAGATGCCTTGAAATGAACTCTCCAAGGTCCTGAACCTGGTAGAGGCCATGTCAGCAGGATAGCAAATCCATTCCAGGCTTTGCAGAGCTTGGGTTCTCCAAAGTCCTGAAGATAGCTTTCAGGACCATATTCTTATTACTTTATTTTATATTATAATGACATTACTCTTATATTTATTTGTATATCGCTTTTACCACTTTGAAGCCGAGACTGAAACCTGGACTCACTGCCTTGTTGACGTGGGAGCTTCTAGCCACCGTGACTTTCCCAGTGACCTGTTTTATGATATTCTCCTGACTGCAAGTGGGATTAAAATCCACATTCCTGCTCTGTGCATTTCATGGCCACTAGGAATTGCAGGAAGTGACAAAGGCATCCCTGCAGAACTTTGCAAAAGAGAAGCGTTGGGCCGACATGAGGTGGACTCTGGCCTGGGCTTAGAGGGAAGGCTATATGGGAAGATGATGTCACAGTCTCTGAGAGTGAGGTCACGGCTTTATGATCTTTGCCCAGCAAAGGCAGAGCTTAGGAGGTCAAAAAAGAGAGCCAGGCTGCTTCAAAAACAATGGAAACCAAACAGCTTGGGATTGCGCAGTTTCGTAGGAGAAGAAAGGAGATCCCACCTTCCGGACTAGAATGAGAAGAAGGTCTTCCTGGTGACGAGAGGCCAAGATGTCCCGGCCGGTCCCAGCTTGTGAAGTGTTTCCTCGAGACACGTCTCCAGTCCAGGAAGGGCCCAGTAGTGGTCGCCAATCCCGCCGAGGGAGTAGCCCCCCAGTGCCCCCCAAAGTTCTGAGGACCACCACGGACTTCCCCAGGGCCGCCTCGCCGAGGAGAGAAAGTGATGTGCAAAGAGGACATGATACTTCCCAGTGCGCCACCCCGCGACGGGGCAGCGAGGCCCCACAAGGTCCGAACATGAGGAGAGCATTGCCGGGACCCTCTTCACGGAGAGAGAGTGACCTCTCCCAAAGCGGAGGCTCCCCTCCGAGGGACAGCAACGAGGCCTCCCAAAGGGCATCTACACCAAGAAGCATACCACCAGCATCGGGGACCTCCTCGCGACGAGGGAGCGAACTGTCACAAACCTTTTCCATCCGGCAAGCAGATGGCTTCCCGCGGCCCTCTTCTCCACAACGGAAGGGTGAAGATTCCCGGAGCACTCCGTCTCCCAAAGGAACGGACGTGGTGACGGGAAACTCGTCCCGTCGAGGGAGTGAACTGTCTCAAACCTTCTCCCCAAGGTATGTGAGTCCGCTTTGCCAGGACCCGCCCGTGCTGTACGCTGATCCTGCTCAACGTGGAAGGACCCCAGTCCGGACCGTCTCACCACAAGCATTAACTGACTACCGCGGTGGACGGTGTTCCCTCCAGGCTGGGCAGT